GCATGCAGTCACAGCAAACCACCCCCAGGGACTCGGCATCACCAGGTGGGGGCGCCAGCGCAGGCTCCTTCAGGCGATGCAGCAAAACCCGGCAAAGGGGTGGGTGTGGGGAGTGCAGGCGCTGCAGAGGTGGCAACAGCGTCCAGTCCCGTCCAGGTGGGCATGCCTGCGGGTGGGGGGCGCCTCGCCCCTCTCCCGTGATGCCAGTCCCCGGGGCACACACCCCAAGCCTCCAGCTGCGTTACCGGGTCCCACAGGCCCAGCTCTCGCTGGCTCATGCGGGTGAAGCCCGTGGTGAAGATATGACCCTGGCGCGTGAAGACCGCCCGCATGGGCCTCATCCCCTCGTGGGCCGCAAACCTCTCCTGGGGGGAGGGGGAGACACGAAGGGGCATCACCCAGATGCCTGCCCTGGGGAGCATGGAGGGCTAAAACAACCACCTTGCAGACTTGGGTGTGTGGGCGGAGGCCAGGGAGAAAAAAAGGGGGCCTAAGAACTCAGCTTCCTGGGATCATAGCTGGCCCCTGGTTTAGGGAGATTCTGAGTTGGGAGAGAGCAGGACGCGCGTAGCTCTGAGCAGATCCAGAAACCTTAAGCGTGTTCAAAGGCTGATCCCTAACGCAGTGAATGGCTGCTGGCTTCCAGATTTGCAGCAAGGTTTTTCTCGAATGGGAACTGCCCGCTCTGCTTAGATGTCAGCCACAGCCCGGCAGGGCGCCCCTGGCCGACCCAGAGAAGGAGAGAGCAAGCGCGCCCGGGGCAGCCTGGCCTACCGGGTCCCAGAGTGCGAGTTGCCGCTCACTCATCCTGCTGAAGCCGGTGCTGAGCAGCTTCCCGTCTGCGGTGAAGACCGCCCGCAGCGGGCGGACGCCCTCGTGAGGCCGGGCTCGCTCCTGCTCGCGGGGTTAGTGGGTTAGAGCGCCCGCGCTCAAACCGGCCGCGCTCGATCCAAGTGCTCCAGGCACACATGCACGCGCCCAGTACCCGTACCCCAGCTTAGATTGAGACCCGTGAGGCAAGGACAAGTCGCCCTCCCTGGGCACTCGGCTGGGATAAGCAATGCGCGAGGAATGTCCCCATCCCCAGCCCAGCGGGTCAACAAGGGAGAGAAGGGGCCAGCTCTCAAGCCAGTGTCGAGCCCCAGACCCCGGAAGATGGCGCTGGATGCCGGCTGAGAGGGGTCCGGGAGGTCAGGTTTCATGCAGGTTCTGGTGAGAGGATGGAGTTTCCAGCTTCTCCCCTCCTCAATCCCAAAGCTGGAGCCCTCCTCTGAGCTTCTGAGGTGCAAGGGAGGGAAGAGGAGTGGGGCAGAGAATTGCAGGCTGGGGGCTTACTTAGGGCAGAGAGTGGTGGTTACAGAGACTAGGGGAGGGGACGATGGAGAGGGGTCTAGGTTCTGGAGTAGGGATAGGACAGGTGAAAACTGAGAGGGGCTCTGATGATTGTGGGTACAGGGTGCTGACATGTGGTCAATGGGCAGGGGCTGCTGGGGAGTGGCCTGGCCAAGCACTCACCGCCACCACTTGGCCTTTTCGGGGGTCAATGATGCGTAAGGTCTTGTCCTTGCAGGTGGTGGCTAGCAGGCTACCATTGCTGTTCCAGCAGATGCTGTGGATGACGTCCGGGTGCATGTCATCCAGGCTCAGCAGCACCTCCCCAGTGCCCACATTCCAGATGATGATCACATTGTCACCACCTGCCCAGAGTGGCCAGGCATGGTCACCTGGGCCCTGCCTTTGCCACCATCCCATCTATGGGGGACCCTTCCCTAGGCCCCCAGACCTGCACTGAGTAGGACATTCCTAGCAGTAGGGTGCCAAGAGAGGATGCCCACACGCTTGGAGTGGCCCTCCAGTGTGATGATAGGTTCCGTAATGTTGCGCAGAGGAGTATAGTCTGGAATCTGCCACACCTGGGTTAAAAGAAAAGCACAGGTGTGTGGGATGAGGCGGTGGGATGAGGCGGTGACCCACCCCCTACCTCCCCTTAACTGGCTTCCTTCAGTGGTAAGGGTTAAAACACAGGGCATGCCTAAGGCAGAAGCTGCTAGGAGCAAGGAGGGGGCACTGTCAGCTTTGCAGAGATTCCCCATTCACTCCAGCAGGGAGACTTCAGAGCACTGTACTGCTGCTCTTCAGGCCTCATGTTGGCTATGGCTATAATTAGTCCTATGCAATGCATCTTGGGAGGGGGTGGGCATGTAGCTAAAAATAACCCAGGAACTGGGCAGGGCAAGGCCCTGGGACCCAGCACCTCCTTTACTACCTTCCCCAGTACAGGTGAGTCAGTCTTCCCCACTCCCCTGCCCAAATGGCTCCTACCATGATGGTGGTGTCGTCTGAGGCACTGGCGATGACGTTGTCATTGTGTGGGCACCAGTCAATATCCAGCACAGGGGCTGTGTGCCCAGTGACCAGCGGGTAGTTCTTATCCACTCGCCCTGTCTGGGGGGGGTTAAAGAGGTATATTGTGGGGCTACTCTCCTGTGTGTTTTTTGGGTGTAGGCAGCAGATCTGTTTACACGTCAATTCTCTATCATGTATTTTCTTTTTGTAAAACCTTCTCTGTGCCTCTAACCCCATCCAGTGCACTTTCTGCACTTTGCTGAAGGCAGACAGAGTTGGAATCCTTTAACATTAGGGAATCTGACACAGGCGGTAAAGATAACTTAACCAAGGACACATAGCAAGATACTGCTAGAGCTAAGACTCAAACTCTTAGTTCAGTGTTCTTCCAATACAACTACTTGGAGGAGGCTGTTCTTGAGCTTGCGCCCCTAATTGGAATGACTTTGGGAAGCCTCGGGTGGAAGAGGTAAAGATGAGGTAATATTCAGTGCAGTGCCCGATAGGCCTTCCCTGCTCTCCTCTGTCAGTTCTCTCCCTTGTGAACCACTTCACCTTGGAACCACTGGAGCAGGTCTTGGTGCTTACTATTCCCAAAGTGGAGCTTGGGACCCACCTATTTTTGGTCTTATGGACTGTTTATGGGGGCTTTGAGGCCTCTGAAGGGGCTGGCATTAGTCCAGACCAGGCAGGAGGGGAGAGGGGTGGCCATGTGGTATTGAAATGGCAGTCATACTGGGAGAGGAGGCAGCTCCAGCTGAAACTTGAGCCTTGGAGATGGTGTCCCTGCATGGTGTCTGCATTGTCATGGGTGAGTCACTGGCTATTGTCAGGCCTCTTCTTGACCCTGCCACTGATAGGGACTCCCTTAACAAAGTGTAGGGGCCAGAATCCAGGTCAAGGTCATGCCTTGGGGTGGTCATGCTGGGAATGGAGATAGCTAAGGGGCTTGAGGTTACTCAGCAGAAGTGGCAATCATGGCCTGGCCCCCATCCCTGGGGAGAGAGGGCTCTGGCCTTATGTGTCACATCCCCTTTCTCTTTGCTCTCTCTCATTCCACCTCACTATAAGAACCAGAGTGGGAGGTAGACAGGGACTCTTTGGATAGAGGCTGACTTTTTCCTAAGAGTGCTGCTCTGGGATGAGATTTAATCAAATGGTCACCCTGAGCGAGGGAGGAGGATCTCCATACCCAAAATATGAGGGGATATGGAATTAGGAGGGATGGCAAAAGAACTTGGCCAGGCCTTGGTTCTGCTGTGTCCCAACCATCTCTATCACTTAACTCCCTTCCTGGTTCCTGCTGGGAATAGAGTGGTATATAAAGGGGTAGGTAGGTTAGGGAGTGGGTATAGGCCACTAGTGTGCTGCTGTTTAGAGTGGAGTGAGGTAGCCCCCCAACCCATCTCTGAGAGCTTGGGGAACAGGGAACAGCCAATCCATACAAACTACCCTCCTGACTGAAAAAAAAGGGACTATCAGGAGTCCCCAGAAGCTCCAGCCAATATCCTCCCATTTCCTTCCTTCCTCTCATCCCTCACCTTGGCCAGAGGCAGGACGATGAAGGCACCCCCGCCTCCAGCCTCCACGATAATAGCCAGGAATTTGGGGTTGACAGCACAGAAGGAGCTGTCCCATGTGACCTTGGACACACGGATGTCCTCGTAGGCCTGGTCAGCCTTTGCCGCCTGTCCAAACACATGGCGGAACTTGCTCTGCCGAACCACACGCCTGCTCATGGCTAGGGGTGGAGATGGAGGATCTCAGTGCTCAGAAATGCCTTTTGTCCTTAGTCCTCTGTGAGCTGTGGGAAGGAGGAAGAGTGGAGGGGGAGGAAGGTAAAAAGCATTATTTGTTCAGGAGTCAGGTGTAAATCCATATATAGTCTGGTCATAGAAGCAGAGAACATTCTTCAAGATGATCAAAGCATGAGAAAGTTCTTTGCCACTGTAAAATGGTGTTTAGTGTGAGGGTCTAGGATTTGGGGTCTAACTTCCTCATACAGACCCAGGATGGGGACATAGTGGAGCTTAACAGGGGCTGAAAGCTTTCTGGAAGTTAGAATGTTTTGGGGAGGAGCCTCAATGCCAGGCTGCCCCCTGCTGCAGTCCCAGAGGCACGCTGTCCACAATTAGAGGCCTTGGCCATTAGATTTTAGAGCAAGGCCAATTATTGGGCTAGGACACTGCAGCCTCTCAAGGTCCTGAATCTGCATCTCTGGCATAGTTCAGGCAGATGGGGTTTTGCCTTTTTCTGAAAATTTGCCAAGGGAGAAGTTCTTCCTGTCAGCTAACCCCAGTTCTTTCTGCCACTATTTCCATCAATTTCCTCCCATGGTGTTGAGGGGGCACAGTATAAAAAATGTGGATCTCTCCTCCTTCCACTCATTTCTGCACTGGCTTCTCCAAGAGACTCTAAGTACGGTCTTACAGCTGTTTGCCTTTGGTTGTCCGATTTCTCCTCTGGATCCCCTGCCGCAGCTGGACCTTCTTACTAAAGTCTCTTGGGGTTGGGGTTCTCCATTATCCGCTCCCCTAGCAACTCCTCCCAGGGGCAGTTTGCAAAGGTGGGGAGGGTGAGGTGCCTTTTCTCCAGGCAGGGCCTGTGCTCTGCTACTTTATTCCCTAGAGGACGCACCAAGCTCTCCCAAAGCCCCAGGAACTGACTCCAGCCCCGGGCATCTTTTGTCCTTCAAGCCGCCTTGGCGGCCCCAGGCTTGAGGCCCGGCCTCCCCACACCCTCCTCCAGCCTCCTGCCCTGGCAGAGTGTTCTTGCAAGACAAGGTGTCTGCACCCTGCGGGCGCGCGGGCCGCTATCCGGCCAAATATAGACACCAAGTCCGCCCCACCCGAAACTGAATTTGGCCGCAGGGGGAGGGGGCGCAGACTTCGGCCTCCTCTAGGGACCTTGCCCGCTCAGCTGGCTGCGGTGGCGGCCCGTGCCGGGGGGGTGCGTACCTGGTCCTGAGGGCTGGGGAGACGCTCACGCTGCGACTCCTCTGCGGAGGGGGCCGAGGTGCGCTGAGAGCCGGGGAAGGCGTCAGGGCGTAGGAACTGCCTCTCTGGGTGTCCGCGGCGTCTGGGGCCCGGGTGTTCGGTTCCGCGCTCCGGCCGCTGCCTGCGGCTCTCCCAGGCCAGCCGCCGCTGCAGTCCCAGCTGCCGCTGCCATCAACCTGGGGGGCGGGGCCTAGGGCGGGGGCGGGACCAGCGCCAGGGCAGCCTCGCGCTCCCCAGCGGCGGGAAAGTCGGACGCCGCCGACTCCGCGCCGAGCGGCCGCAGGCCTAGGAAAAGAGTCGACAGTAAGTGGGCGTGTGTGTGCGGGGTGCGCACTCTCCTTCCCTACCCTCGGCGCCTCCGGGACAGGCCGAGGACACTCAGCTTTCCAGACTCAGAGCGGAGCGCTGAGAGGGGGCGGGCAAGGGGCCTGAAGGGGGCCGCGGTGCTGGATCAGGTGCTTACGCGTCGCATTCCTGCCGCAGTCGCTCTGTCCCGGCGGGCCGGGGTTGGGGGACTGCACGTCCAGGCCCTCTTACGGGAAAGGTCCCAGAACATGCTCTGGAGGAGTCGTACCGGGCACTGGATGACGGCCTAGGCTGGCCGAGGGCAACTGCAAGAGTACTCGACAAAGGGCTGTGAATGTTACCGTGGCTAATAGCGATAGCGATCATTTGAGAACCTAAAAGATTGGCACTGTGCTATTTCAATCTTGTTAGAGGGGATTCCACAGAGCGTGGTAGAAAGCAGCTTAAAGACCAGGCAGGGGAGGAAAGTGAACCCACCTTGACATCCTCTGCCCCCCAACTGGGAACAGCAAGGTCTTAGGGAAAAAGGCTGGCACAGGTCTTTGGCCACATTTTAGGGATCAGAGCAGCCTGCTCAAAGGCCTGCTGTGTTCTAGGGACGCCTCCTCTCCTCCCACAATATCTACCGATCTGAATATCGACTAAGGTCAAGGAGGGCATAGAAAGTAACCAGTGAAGAAGAACCAGTCCCTGCCCACACACTGGTTGGATTTCTTCCTTTGGAAAGTCCTGGAGGGGATGGTGGGGCCAGTTATTACTTCCCACTCTCCAGGGCAAACCTGGGATCAACAGAACGCGGTCTTCCAGAGAGCAGTAACCAGTACCAGAGGGGAAAGGGAGGGAAGATGGTGGAAACCGTGAGTGCCTCCACAAGGCTCCTTTGTTTCTCAGTGGCTTCTGATTCTAACAGAATCCGAAACTGTTACAGGTGCCATAAGGGTGGATGAGGAGTCTCCCTTTTACCTAAAGATTTCAGGTACATAGTTAGGAAGATAAGACGTGAGTGACTTGGTTGTTTATTACAATATCTCACACATCCTATTTTCTGGGCATTGTTCTGAGGGCTTTGTACATATTAATTTCATTATAGTAACCATTTTCTGAGATGGGTACTATTATTATCCCTATTTTACAGTTGAGGAAACTGAGGCACAAAGTGGTTAAGTAGTTTACCCATCACTCAACTGGTGGTTAGGGGAGCTGAAATTTTTACCGGAGTGATCTGGTGTCTGGGTCCATGCTTTTTAGCACTATGAATTTCTGCCTCTCCTTAAAGGGCAGTGCTACTTTATCACACAAATGCTGAGATAAAGCATAACAGAAAGTTATGTTACCGTGGCACAGAGGCAAGGATCCCTGGAACTCATTAAAAAACTTGTTCCAGGCCCAGCTCAGTCATCCTATATTTGCAGCTCTGGGCTGTAAGATGGAGGACTGGGCCAGATTATTTCCAACCCTGCAGCACTTGTTGGCATAGAAGGGATTTGACATGCTGCCTCCTATCTGAATTGGCATCTTTCCTCCACTCCCCTGCCCTTTTCCCCTCCTCTTTAAAGACAGCAGGGAACTCCTTTCTAGAGGGAAGGGTTTGGGACTAGGGAGCAAGAATCCTTCAATCCAGCCTGCCTTTAGTTCCATCATCTGGGAGGGAGGATGCTCTCTGGGTACAAGGTATTTGCTTGGGCCTGGCCCAGCTCAGTCTTCTTTTGGCTGCCAAGGCCTGGCAGAGTTGTGGGTGGTTGAGAGCCAAGGCATGATGAACAAATCAGGGGAAGAAACGATTTGGGCTTGGTGCCTCCCTCTGAACTGGAGTCCATAGATGACAGGCACAGATTTCATCTATTTTTATTTTTTATGGAGATCGAGTCTCACTATGTGGCCTAGGCTGGTTTGAACTCTTGGCCTCAGCCTCCCAAAGCTGGGGTTACAGGGACAAATCACTGTACCAGGCAGCACGGATTTCATTTCTCATGAAGCTATTTTCTTTCTTTCTTTTTTTTTTTGGCTAGGGCTGGGTTTGAACTGGCTACCTCTGGCATGTGGGGTTGGCGCCCTACTCTTCTGAGCCACAGGCACCACTGGAAGCCATTTTCTGAAAGAGGTAGCCTGGATCCTTGGTCATGATTTGGTCCATCTGCTTTCACTAGAAAGCTGAGTTTATCTAGATTGATCAGGGACCCCAGGCACCCCTAGAATATTTTGTGAAAGCCCTTATCTTCACCACCATGCTCTCCAGCATGAGTCTAGTGCTGTGCTTCCCCCCCCACTTGATACGGATGATCCAGAATGAAGCAGGATGACTTGCTCTCTGTAGTGCCACCTTATGTGTTATGAATGGCACTACGAAATGTCTCCAGAGGCTCTGTGAAAGGTGGGCACCTCCCCTAACCCATTGTAGAGGACTGGCCTTTGGCCCTATTTCCCTCCTGCACAATTGACATCAAATATTTCTCTTCTAATGGTGGGAGAAGATTAAAGATTTTTTTTTTTTTTTTGAGACGGAGTCTCAAGCTATCCCCCTGGGTAGAGTGCTATGGCATCACAGCTCACAGCAACCTCCAACTCCTGGGCTCAAGTGAGTCTCCTGCCTCAGCCTCCCAAGTAGCTGGGACTACAGGCGCCCGCCACAATGCCTGGCCATTTTTTGGTTGCAGCCATCATTGTTGTTTGGTGGGCCCGGGCTGGGGATTCGAACCCGCCACCTTAGGTGTATGTGGCTAGCGCCTTAGCCGCTTGAGCCACAGGCGCCGAGCCAAAATTTTTTTGATACTTCTCTAGAAATTCATGTCCAATTTCTAGAAACTGTTCAGTAAGCTGAGGTGACTTGTGCTGAAAGCTTATTAGCCCTATCATTACATGTCCAGAGAGGTGCCCACCCAAGAAATCTAGTCTCTTTGGTGGCAGGTAACAATAGCTCTCCCAGCCCAGTCATTTTGCACCAGATGGTAGAGGAATTTTGGTCCTCTTTATTTATTCCCCTAACATTCAGGTAGTGGATTTGGTAACTGCCTCCTTGACCAGGCAAGTTCCCAGCTTGGTCACTTAATTGGAGCCACACATATAAATTTTTTTTTTTTTTTGAGACAGAGTCTCACTATGTCGCCCTCAGTGGAGCGCTGTGGTGTCACAGCTCACAGTAACCTCAAACTCTTGCACTTAAGCGATTCTCTTGCCTCAGCCTCCCAAGTAGCACCTAGTCCCTCCCACTACAGGTGCCCACCACAATGACTGGCTATTTTTTTTTTTTAGGTTATTGTTGTTATTGTTTGGCAGGTGCCCTAGCCACTGAGCTACAGGTGCTGAGCCCACACAAATAATTTTTATAATAATTTTGACTGATCCTATCTCCTATCCAGCCTTTTATTTTGTGGAAGGTGGGCAGTTTATTTTTCTCTAAAACTTAAGAGTGGCTTGATTGGGAGTAATGACTGAGAACTGCTCCCTGTTGGTTACCAATGTTATCCTCTTCCAACCCCCTCCAACCTTCTCCAGTACCCTCCTTTGTTGCACCTCATTAAGTAGACACGTTTCATCTTCAAAATAAAAATTTATTCAGTCTGTAACAAGAACATTGAATCTGCACATTTGCGCACAACTTCACATTTAAAAACAGCGGAGCACATCAGTAATAAAAAAATCTATGATACAAGTGGAACATCCCAACCACCAGGAAGATTAAGGAAGGAAATGAGACCACTCTTTATATTCTGCTTCAAATGCCTCAAAAAGGTCCCAGAGATTCCAGGGAGCACCTGCTTTGTTTAACAAAATGTGAACACAAAAGTTTGGGTGGTTTGGGGCAAAGGTAACAGTCAGAAAGAGAGTCTTCTGGACTTGTGTTCCATGTTTATAACAAGTCCTACAAAATAGAAAAAAAAAAAAGGCACCTTTAGCTATGCCAAGCAAACCAAAATCCAACAAAACATAAAAACCAAACAATTCCCTGTGGGCTTATCGATTGGAAACACTTCAAGGCATTACCCAGTTTCCAGTTTGGGTCATCAGCTCGTCAAGCCCTGGGTAATGGCTCTGCATGTGTACACAGGATGCTGTGACCAGCATCACTATGAGGACACAGAGGGCAGCACCAATCATATACCTCTTGGGGGATCTTCAAGCTGATGAGGGATGATTCCAGTTTAGAAATTCTGTCCTAGATCTCTGGGGCATTGAGAAAATGAGGCTGGTTCTCTTTTCATAGCAGGAGTCAGGGCCAGTCACCCTCCACTTCCAGGCTGGAAAAGTACAGAAGCACCTTGCAATAGCTCTCCATGGTGTCAGGGGACCCTCAAACCCTGGGTTAGGAGTGTGCAGCTTCCTGCTTTGGTGGCAGGCCTTTTCCTAATACATAGTATTTAGGTATTGGATGAATTGAGACAGCAAATATGCTTATGTCTAACACACGCATTGATCTTTTAGTCTGGAGGGAAAACAAAGTTCAAGGTGCTTTTAAGGTGGATTGGTGCTGAAACAGCAAAAATTTCATCTTGTCTACCATTAAAAAGCAAAGCTAAATTAAACAAAAATGACACTAGCCATTCACCATTACAACCATCACTATAAGACACACCATCACTGAGGAAATGACAGCTATTTCCATAGAGAGCGCTGGATGGGAGTGCAGGACACAGATGGAAGTCAGCTCCATAAATTTATCCACTTATCCACAAGGGCTGACCATTACGGCACTGCTCTGAGTGAGGACTCACAGGGCAGCTAGGGCCTGGGGACTGAATGGCCAACAAGATGATGCACATTTTAATACAATGTAAACAAAGTATCCACAAATAGCCATAAAGAATGGCTTTATTTAAAAAATTTAAAATGCCCTTGAAAGTGATTTTCTGCATAATGCTTTCCTTAAGAAAAAAAAAAAAGACTCCCACAAAAACATTTTACCAAACATGCCTAGATCACTTAAGAACTGAAATCCCCAGATGAAAAAGGTGATTTCTGTGAGCTGCCACATCTCAGAAGCTTCTTAGAGGAACCTTCAGGCCTAACCAACAGCCTCTGTCTGGGGCCCACGGGCAGGAAGGGACTTCAGAGCCTGGGCTGTCATCCTCAGGCTGTCCTTGGACCTCTTGGTAGGTTGCAAAATGGGAAAGAGGAAATACAAGTTGGGATAAAGACCCAGAACCAGGAAAACAATAAAGAACCTGAAGGAGCAATGTTAGGAATGATCCCAACTATGCAGAATCTGAAAGGCAACCAAAATGGGGAGAGATGGACATCACCACACTATAGTACTCCATGTCTACTATAGTGTACACTACTCCTAAGTGTTCCCAAAAATCAAGGCAAGGTTGGGGTTTTTCTCCACTGATCAGGTAACCACCCAAATTCTAGCCAAATCCTGTATGTGCCTGGGGCGTTTACCCCATGCACTAAAAAGTTAACTCTTATATATGGATGTGTACTTGCTTATACCTACACCCATATACTCCTCAGAGACTATGGTAGTTTAAAAAATATATATATATAAAAAGGTGTACTGAGTAAAAGGTCAAAGTTTTTTCTACTCATCTCTGTCAATCTACCAAACTGCTGTTTTAGGTCTGGGCTTCCCAGGAACAGAAGAGGGAAAGTGGCCACTGGAGATTATTAAAAAGTTTAAAGAGAAGAAAGCCTGAAATATTCTTCACAGCTCATTATGACATTGCTCAGCCATGTAAATAACAACACTCAATTCTGGGAGTTTGAGAGGGATGACAACCCCCCCCTGGTGTGACAGACTGTGTGTAGAAAATGTTTATTTAGGTAGATAATTAAACGATATAAAATATAATGAAAAATAAGGGAAGAAGAGCAAGACTGTTTCCTTCACTCTTTAAAAAAATAAAAAAAATTTTTTTCACAGCGTAAGTGGGGTTCCTCACATGTTTGTTGTTATTTAATTTAATGTAGTTAGTGAGCATTTGTCACAGTGTGGGGAGAAGAGTGGACAGTGCAAGGCGTTATCATGAGTGGACGCCACTCTCTTAACATCCATGCAAATCCTCCTCTATCCACTCCACAACAATTTCCTCTCCTTTCCAATCCAGTATCTGTGGAAGTGTCTCAAGGAGACGGGGTAGTTTAGATGAGTAAGTCCTGGAAATTTACATCCCCATCTGGCAAGCGTCCTCACACTGGTTCATGCCACCTAGCAAAACACTTTACAACACAAAATATCCTGGAATCACAAAACTGTGTAGATGATACACTTAAACATTTAAGGAAACTACTGAGCAACAGCACAGGCACACGAAGTTACTAGACCATAAAGACACTTTTAGTAGGTAGTTTCTGTTCAAACTGCCTTCTGGCAGTGGTATCAGACCAACCACGGCTTCCACACAGCAAGTGGATTCACAGCTTCTCCTGAGCACCTGCCAATGGCCCCAGTTTACCTTTACAACAACCTTTGGGTTATCTGCCTACACCAAACTCTGGCCTCTGGTATCACCTTGACAGTCTGTGCATCTGTCTTTCCCTCTCAGTGCTGTGATCAATGAAAAACTTAAATCTCAAGTCTGTACTCAGTCAATGCACAGCAATGTGGATATTAACCAAAGCAAACAGGAAGCAAATCTGCAAACCTTTTCAGTTTTAATGAGCTGCCAATGTGTTTCATTCCAGGCCAAGTGTGTTTTCTAGAAAAGCTCAAAGAGGCTTGTTTATGGCAGGTGCTCCTGTGTTAACATCTCCATAACAGCAGCAAACCAACAGCATCCTAAATGGAGTCATTGCAGGCACTTGCTCTTGGCTGAGCCCCAAAAGGGAGGTTCCACTCTGGGAAACTCATAGAAACTTCTTGGCTGTGGAAGGCTACTGGAAAATAATGTTCTGGGACTTTAGTTTCAAAGAGAAATAAGCCTCAGTCACACTGTGACCTAATAGGAGCCTTTATGGGTTTCTCTGAGGAAGAAGTTACTAATGCATAATTTGGCAGGAGCTAGTGATTAGAAGTCTCCATTTATACAATCAAAACCACCACCAATATACTGTACAGATTCCTACCAATATCCATCAGTTTTATTTCTGGTATCTTTGTGTGTTTTCCAGTTGCAACTCTACTCCTTCTTAAAAAGAATAAATCAAAAAAGACCCTACAACATCAACAAAACACTGTAAGAAAGCGAGTGACATTATGTACATAAATACTGTGTATAAACTTTAGAGAAATGACCTTCCAGGAAAAGGAAGGAAACAAAAACTTATGTCAAGTGTTAACAGTGATAACAGAGAAAAGAAAATGTTGCATTCAATGGAGGTTAATACATATGTAACAATTCAAATGTATCTATGAAATAAAAAAAAGGCAGCACAGGGAAAGAGCATGGGGAAGGAAAAACAAATATGGCCATTAAACTCAGAAGGCCTACAGAATTATTCAAGTAATGGAAGGGTTAAAACCCTACATATGTAATCATTTTACCAGAACACATCGACTTTTGATTGCTGCTTTTCAAACTTGTCACTACTGTGTTTTAGTTGGGAGGACACTGCAGAGCACTTTCTGGCAGGGAGGGCCAGGATGCCCTCCGGTGGGGATCCCATCAGCCCAGCAGTTACTGGGCAGCAGCTCAGCACTCCTAAATTCATGTCTTCATCCTCTCATTCTGCTTTCCTCTCCAGAAGACCATTCAGATTTCATTTGAGGTTCTTTTAAAATTTCAAAAATTACTTTCTTGGGGAAAAAAACTGTTTGATGACTTTACAAAGCCAGCCATTACCATGCCTTTCTGTCATGACACACTCTGAATACCAGAAGAAATGGGTTCTGGACAGCCCCCTTAAAAGCAAAGCAGAGCCTGCCTACTTTAGGAACTCCAAAGCACTGCGGCTGAGAGCCCTCTGACTTCCGGCTGCGCTTTGGCCCATCTGATGCCTCAGGTCTGGAAAGCAAATCATCATGACAAAGACACAGGGGACCATTGTCCAATTCCCAGCTTCATCTCCACCCTCCCCATCTGCTTCCTTCCATCAAGCAACCATGCTTTTTCTCAGAGGGCAAAATGAGGAGCAGGTGGCAGTTGATTGAAAAACAGCAATTTGCCTTTGATACAGGTGTTCTTTGAAAATGAGCATTTTTTTGAGGTTTGAATCTTTTTAAATAAAAAATGATAAAACGGTCTTGCCATCCAAACCAATCTCTCTCCTTACATATAACACACACACACACTGAAAAACCCAAACCCTGCATGCGCCAAAAACAGTAAAATGCCAAAACATTATAAAATTAACCAATAAAGTGCATGTTCCTTACATATTACACCTGCCCCTTTTACAAACATTTCTTTTGGAAAGTCACATGTGTAGGCTCAGAATCACATAGTATTATAGAAGGGGTTGGTTGTCCGTTTTTTATCATTTGCTTTTTTCAGTCTCCTAAGGGGGTGAGTTCTGCCATGTTGTTGACAGGGTGCCACAGCCAGGCCTGGGGCTGGGCTTGCACACTGCAGCCCCTCGGTCTGTAGCAGAGGAAGGCCCCCTTCAGAACTAGTCAATTCAGGTCCCACCCTGGGAAGCAAACACTGCTGACTGGAACCAAATTCTTTGGCATACTGCACAACGGGCCTTTCCACTGGCTTGCTCTGAACGATACACTCTGTCGTTTTGAGTTGTTTTACAAAATACTTGGTGGGCTCTGGGTTCTGGGGGGAACCTGGGTTTCCAAGGGGCTCTTGGGCTTCCACAGTGTGCATGCCTGAGTCTGTTCTGAGGAACGGCTGAAGCAGTTTGAGATGAGGGGATTCAGAGGAGATAGGCTCCCTGTCTGGTAAATAGTCTTTACAGAGGTCCAAGTAACCTAACTTGGCAAGAGATGCTGAGCGCCTCATTCGGGATGGTTTGGTGAGCTCTGCCTGGAAAATCACTCCTTGGGACTCGATTTCTTTAGTGTGCTCCTTCACCACACCAGGGCTACTCTTTATATTTTCACTACTAGAGCTATGTGGGAGTTGACAAGCAACAAATGACGGGCCCACTTTTTCCTGTAACTCACCAAGTTTGCTAATTAAAATTAGGTCTTTGCCATTTTGTTGCACTTCGTTGCCACTAGGGGGGCCTTCCTGACTTTCCTCCCAGCTAACCTGCTCTGTAGAAGGGTCATCTGTGGTGCTGCTTTGCTCTGTGAAGCCTTCCAGGTGAACCAGGGTCTGGGGATGCAAGTAATCCAAGTTGGCAAATGGTACATGGGATGTGCAACTAACAAAAGGTGCTCCTGTCTCCAGGGCTGCCGATGGACTGCTGCTCAGTGTGGAGGCCAGGTGATCAGTGGGCCTGCTGTACTCAGGAGAATGAGGCAGAGGTAGCACATGGGGGTGCATAGAAATCTGGTTGGGGTCCAGAGTCCTGTTTAGATTTTCATCCAGTGCACAGAGCACAGTGATGGACTTCTCCACTTTCACTGTCCTCAGTCCTTGCTCTTCACTCTTTTCGCTGGTGGAGATTTCGCCCCCTGGCCCAGTGTGATCTGATGATGTAACTGTGTGGGTGTACTCAATGATTTCTATCCTCTTGGGAAGGGCAAGAGGGACTGCCTGTGTCTCAGACCCCTGGTATGAAACCACAGTTCTCTGATCCTTCAGGGTTCCTTTCTGGTTTGTTCTAGAATCTGACCCTGGGCACTCCTGAGCTGGCATGGGGTGAAACTCTAGTACCTCGCGTGCTGGAACAATCACATTCTGCTCAGAATGGGATAGTGAGCAAGCTTCAGACCCACTGCCTTTTCCTTTGCCCTTGCTTATCTCCAATTCCTTGGGGACAAATGAATGTTCTGGGGTGGCTTCATCATTTTTCCCTTTTGGTGCTAGGTCTGCCACAGAAGAATCATTCTTGGAATTCTTGCGTGTGGACAATGAGGTACATGTGGGGGCAGCAGCATGGTGCTCTTGCTCCTGCCGTAAGCGCTCTTCAAACTCCAAGGTGGCTCGCCTCACAGACCCAGGACACCACTTGGCATCCGGGTGCATCCCTGGGCCCTGAAGCTCTTGTTCTTCCTCGGTTGGTTCCTCTTCTTCCAAGTCTGCTGTGAATGTGTGTGTGGTTAGGTAGCCTTCTGGGTCACACTTCCCTGAGTCTTTGGCTAGTTCAGGTGGGGCTGTGCAGGAGCTCCCATCCTGTTCCAAATGTCCAGGTTTGTTCTCTGGGGCCTGGACCCTCTCCAGGGGCAGCTCATGGATGATGTTCTTCTTTGGTGTCTGGCATGGGTTGGATAGAATGTCTTTCAGTTGAATCTGCCCAACTCCTTGACTGATGGATTCAATTTCTGTGACAATTTCTTTGACTGAAATTGCATTTTCTGAGTGAGATTGCATGAAAATGTCTGGGCTGACCAGTTCTGAGATTGCCTAAGAAAAGAAAGTAGTGAGACGATTATGATGAATTATAGTCTACTTAAAAAAGATGTTATTTTCTGCTTATTAATCCTTTGATCCAGGAAAACGTATCTGGCTATAAGAATACAAATCATGAAGTGCCTAGGACCATACTTTGCTAATGTGTTTTGTCAGACTATAGAAACAAACAAACAAACAAAAAAACTGGACTCATCAAAGCCAGAGAGATAAAATTCATTATTAAGTTTTGTCACTAACTAAACTTTCTGTTCTGTTCACTCAAGTAGAATTCCAATCCAATACTTTGCTCCAGGATAAATAGCAAATAGCTTTGGAGGCTCTTAGAATTAGTATTTTCCTAAGACTATGAGCCTCCAGGATTCAGGCCATACTGGGGTAAATGAAACGTCCCCTATTTGGCCTACCAACTTCCAGTTTGACCCTAACCTATTCAACTATTCAAGGGGAAGAGTGCCATTCAAAGGATAACTGGCGGCTTGGCGCCTATAGCTCAACCGGCTAAGGTGCCAGCCACGTACACCTAAGGTGGCAGGTTCGAATCCCCAGCCCGGACCCGCCAAACAACAATGACGGCTGCAACCAAAAAAAAAAATAGCCGGGCGTTGTGGTGGGCACCTGTGGTCCCAGCTACTTGGGAGGCAGAGGCAGGAGACTCACTTGAGCCCAGGAGTTGGAGGTTGCTGTGAGCTGTAATGCCATGGCACTCTACCCAGGGGGACAGCTTGAGGCTCTGTCTCAAAAAAAAAAAAAAAGGATAACTGGCTACCCTAGATATGCCAGTAGTGTTAGATGGGCAAGATGCATAAGACTATCATGTGATGTCTGATTTGGAGACTCACTGCTTTCTTTTCTCCTGTCTTGCTAACTTTTATCCACACCCTCCCACTGCTCCTCCTAGCAGCGGCATCTTAGCACATAAGAGCAGGAAGAGTTGGGTGGCACCTGTGGCTCAGTGGGTAGGGCACCGGCTCCATATACCCTCAGTGATGGGTTCAAACCCTGCCCTGGCCAAACTGCAACAAAAAATAGCCGGGCATCGTGGTGGGTGCCTCTAGTCCCAGCTATTTGGGAGGCTGAGGCAAGAGAATTGCCTAAGCCCAAGAGCTGAAGGTTGCTGTGAGCTGTGATGCCTCAGCGCTCTACTGAGGGAGATAAAGTGAGACTCTGTCTCTTAAAAACAAACAAACAAACAAACAAAAAAACAAGAGCAGGAAGAGTACATTCGATATCTGATGGCACAATCCCTAAATTTCACATACTCATTCTGAGAAAGGTTTACTTGGTTCATGTAGCCATGTGTCTACGGTTAGAAACCATGACTCGCTGACATTCTTCTGTTTTACCAGTTACAAATTCCCAGATGGATTTAGAACAAAGCCAAAGGAAACTGGCCAATGAAAAATCAGGTCCTACTGTAAAAAAAATAAGAATTTTAAAATCTGCAAATGGCCCTCAGACACCTCTTAAAGTAGTACCATTATGACTATCGATCTACTTTGTTAAGATTTTTTATAAACCTTCAAAGTATAATATTTCCCTAGGGATCGTTATTCTTTCTCCTTCAAAAGAGAGTCAAGAGTTAGTACTAACTAACAAGGTTAGTAATTCCTCTAGGGAAATCTGCCAGACCCTGGGCAGAAACAAACTTGCCACGACTGGGAGAGGAGCCACAGATGAGCGGTGTGTGCACGGGCCTCGGAGGAGTGTTCACATGACCGATGTCTTTACAGAAAGGCTATTTCTGTCAGTGCTATAACACTCACTGGTCCAAAGGAGAGCTCAAGCATTCTGACTTCCCAGAAGAAAGGACACAGAGGCATAGCTTTTGAGGGGGGATGACAACAGAAGCAAAGGCAAGAACTGCCCTGGGATGGTTAAGGAGAGAACAGGAGAGTTATGGATAAGGTGGGTAAATATAAGTAGACAGACATCAGGAGGTGTCAAGAATGTAGTCAGCTAAATCATTAAGTGAAGTCTGGTATGTGAGAGTAAATCATTTATTCCCTAATTGCTACACTGTTTTGATCTAAGACACCATTGTTTAGAATATGCATCCCAATGTCAGACATGTCAAAATGAGCAAGTTGTGAGTTTTAGAATTGATGATACACGGTAATTTTTTCTCTGGTCTGAGATGGCCTATAATAGCTTATATGCCCCTAAGAAGAATCTTAGGATTCTGTCTGCTCTCATATTCCTTTCCCCTTAATTCTTGAGTACCACAGGTTGGAGATGAAGCATCCAGAAACATTATTTAAATAAATCCAGAGTATTACTTGTTGCCCTGGTAGAGTGCTGTGCTGTCACAGCTCACAGCAACCTCAAACTCTTAAGCTTAAGTGATTCTCTTCCCTCAGCCTCCCAGGTAGCTGGGACTACAGGCACCTGCCATGATGCCCGGCTATTTTTAGAGACAGGGTCTCGCTCTGGCTCAGGGTAGTTTAGAACTCATGAGCTCAGGAAATCAACCCACCTTAACTTCCCAGAGTGCTGGGATTATAGGCGTGAGCTACCATGCCCAGCTAAGAAACATTATTAATACCAAGAACTTAGCATGGGAATCAGTTGCTGCTTGAACAACTATTTATACATTTCTAATCTCTGACTTTTCTGAGACTCCCCACCCCGCCCAAATCTATCTTCTCAGAAAGACACGGCTCACTCAGGCAGGATCTAAATCCATTATTGATAAGATGTGATCTGAATTGCAGAGGTCCAGGCAAGTGACCTGTTCTTGTTCAGCAAGGATGTTATTTTGGCTAATCCCTTTGTCATCTCCTCTCAGAAAAGCTTCCACTGACACCAAAAGCCTACAAAGATAAATTCCTCAAAAGGCAACTCATTTAGGCTCAGTGCCTGTGGCTCAAGTGGCTAAGGCGCCAGCCACATACACCTAAGGTGGCGGGTTCGAATCCAGCTCGGGTCGGCCAAACAACAATGACGCCTGCAACCAAAAAATAGCCGGGTGTTGTGGTGGGCGCCTGTGGTGCCAGCTACTTGGGAGGCTGAGGCAGGAGACTCGCTTGAGCCCAGGAGTTGGAGGTTGCTGTGAGCTATGATGTCACAGAACTCTACCCAGGAGGACAGCTTGAGGCTCTGTCTCCAAAAAAAAAAGGCAACTCATTTAAAAAATATTTAAGCCCTATATTTTCAAGGAAAATATCAGGCAGACTATCGTTCCCATACTGTCTTCCTAAATCTTTAGTAACATCAAAAATAAGGTCAACAGAATACCAAATGTTTTGTCTTTGAAAAGAACTTCATTAGTTGGAAAGCTATAAAGATAATTTTTACCTTTGACTGTTCCTCATCCATTGAAGATTCTTCAGACACATGAGGAGTATTACTTAAAGAGCTGCTTCTCTGGTCATCAGCTGTCACTTTGGAAGGGGCTCCTTCTACCACTGAGAGTCGACAGCTCTCACTCTTTCCTCCACCCAGTTCCTCCATCCTTGAGTGGGAAAAAGATCGGGACCGGGTTTCTTGGGAGAGCTCCACAAACTTCTCTAGGGCACTGAAAAAATCAATGCGATCTGTACTGAAATCTGAGATTTCAGCCTGGCAAGTGGGTTGGGGGCTTGGTGACTCTGGGTCAGGGGACATGGGGAGGTCTTTCAGTCTAGATGTCAATTCTTCCATAGGCAGTAAGTGGACATTCATGTCTGCTTTCAGGGCATCTGTCTCTAGATCTTCCACTGTTAAGTCTGGGAACTTGTTGGCCATTTCTGGGGCATGTCCAGGTTGGATTAAGGCTTTGGATGCATGGCAGTTGTCAAGAGGGAATTTTGATTCATTCAGACAACACCCTGATGAGCATCCATTGATGTCATTTAAGTTTAATTCGTCCTCAATCTGTCCAGCATGAAATTCCCTAGAAGTAAACTCCAAGCAGATCATTCTTTCTTTGGTACAGAGGCCTTTCTGATTTGCATCTTGTGGGACCACATGCTCCACAAAGACAGGAGGTATGGGGGGGTGACTCTCTGTGGTCTTCACCTCAGCAATTTGGTCTGCTGAGGTGGTGATATCCTTCTTGTTGAGCTCTAGTCCAGATTTGCAGATAGGTTCATGGTGGTCTGAGAGGTCGCTATCTGAATGAGATCTCCACAGTTTGTTATGCCGCTGTTTGCTGTGTAGGACATATATAGGAAAACACTTTAAATTGATTTGTGCAAACAATTAACACCTTTCCAGAAAACTGTTCCCATATAAACTTTAATCTTAACTTGCAAAATGCTTTGTTAACTGTTCCATGGAACTTGGAAATAAACACATAAAAAGACACTCAAGTTAATAACAAAAAACAAAGCAAAACAAGATCAAATGAATGTGAAATCTGATTTTGTTATCTTTCAGACAGACAAGAACTAAAATAGTTAGTAAGTAACAGCCAGTGCTGTTGATGGTATGGCCAAAGAAGCTCTTTCATATACTGCTGGTAGGAAGTATGAACTGTCAAATGAATGAATGGATGGCTTTGTTTGTTTTTAAGAGACAGGGTCTTGCTACGTTGCCCAGGCTTCAGTGCAGTGGCACAACCACAGTGCAGGTGCAACCTCAAAATCCAGGGTATAAGTGATCCTCTTGCCCCAGATTCTTGATCCTCTGCCCCAGCTGGGATGAACTATAGAATTTTTAAGACTGATGTCTGACAATAGCTCTCCAAACCTAACCTTTTAATTTTTTTCTTGAGACAGAGCCTCAAGCTGTCACCCTGGGTAGAATACTCTGGCCTCACAGCTCACAACAACCTCCAACTCCTAGGCTCAAGTGATTCTCCTGCCTCCGCTTCCCTAGTAGCTTGGATTACAGGCGCCTGCCACAATGCCCGGCTATTTTTTGGTGGTAGCTGTCATTGTTGTTTGGCAGGCCCAGGCTGGATTCGAACCCGCCAGCTCAGGTGTATGTGGCTGGCACCTTAGCCACTTGAGCCACAGGCACCGAGCTGAAACCTAACCTTTTAACAAGCAATTTTTTATTTTTTTGTTTGAGACAGGGTCTCACTTTGTTGCCTTGGGTAGAGTGCCATGGCTGGCATCATAGCTCACAGCAAACTCAAACTCTTGGGCTTAAGTGATCCTCTTGTCTTAGCCCCTACGTAGCTGGGACTACAGGTGCCCATCATAATGCCTGCTATTTTTAGAGATGGGGGTCTGTCACTTTAGCTCAGGCTGGTCTTCAACTCCTGAGCTTAGGCAATCTACCTGCCTTGGCCTTCTAGCAATTCTTCCTTAATGAATTTTTCTTGGAGAAATACTATAACTGCACGGAGATATACAAATAAGGATATTTACTATAACACTATTTTGTGATACTAAAAAATGAGACCCCACAAAACAAAAAAAGGTTGGCTTGGCACCAGCCACATACACTGAGGCCGGTGGGTTCGAACCCTGCCTAGGTGAGCTAAATGACAATGACAACTACAACAAAAAAATAGCCAGGCATTGTGGCAGGCACCTTTAGTATCAGCTACTTGGGAGGCTGAGGCAAGAGGATCACTTAAGCCCAAGAGTTTGAGGTTGCTGTGAGCTGTGATGCCACAGCACTCTGCCAAGGGTGACAGATGAGACTGTGTCTCAAAAAAAACCCAAAACAAACCCCCCCCCAAAACCCAGATAAAACAAAACAAAGAAAGGATTTATTAAGTTATAGTCCATACAAAAATGTTATAAGGCTGTTAAAAACTGTCAGGTAGACTGGGCCCAATGGCTCATGCCTGTAATCCTCGCACTCTAGGAAGCGAAGGCCAGAAGATCCCTTGAGCTCAGGAGTTTGAGACCAGCCTGAGCAAGAGCAAGATCCCATCTCTACTAAAAATAGAAAAATTAGCCATGTGTTGTGGTGCCTATAGTCCCAGTTACTTGGGAGGCAATGGCAGGAGGTTCACTTGAATCCAGGTGTTTGAAGTTGCTGTGAGCTAGGCAGAAGCCAGGGTACTCCAGCCTGGGGCAACAGAGTGAGACTCTGTCTTTATACCACCACCCCCAAAATAAAACTGTCAGGTACATTAGTGGAATGATGTCCAAGGGGTATGATTCAGTGAAAAAGCATGTTGAAGACATTTGGAATGGACAGTTTCCATGTTAGAGTAATATAGGAAAAAATCCAGAGTAGTATCACTAGTAGCATTAATTCTTTCAAGAAAGGTAGAGATACTTCTGGGGTAGGCTTTTACTTTCTATATTCAATATTTCTATAATTTTTAAAATTAAAAAATGAGCATGTTTAATAATTATAACCAGGAAAAAAATCTAAAATCAAAACATACATGTAGTCAGGCATGGTGGCTCACACCTGTAACTCCAGCACTTTGGAAGGCCAAAGTGGGAAGATCACTTAAGTCCAGGAGTTTGAGACCAGCCTGAGTATCAGAGTGAGATCCTGTCTCTTAAAAAACAAAAAAATTAGCCAGGCATGGTGTATATGCTCCTGTAGTCCCAGCTACTTAGGAGGCTGGAGGATTGCTTGAGCCTAAGAATTCAATGTTACAGTGAGATATGATTGGCCATAGCACTCTAGCCTGGGCAACAGAGTGAGACCTTGACTCTAGAAAACACACACACACACACACACACACACACACACAGAAACATACAGTAATACAAAGGGAAATTTGGGGCCTATTGTTGGAGTCTGTTACACCAACTCTTCATAATTGGAATGAAGTACTAATGTACTATTAATGAGTGACATGGGCGTGTGAAGAGAATGGTAATGATTCTTGAATTGGAAAGCAAAGATGGGATAGCAAATCTGGAGAGAAAACTCAGTAATAGGACAAATAGGCTGCGCATAAAGGACAGCCCCTCTTCAGAAGGATCTGTGGATAAAAACCAAGCTAAAGAGACACCTGGAAAAACAGGTTGGCCAAAGGATGACCCCTCCCCGCAATCAGTCCTTTGGTTTATTTCATGGAGAGAGGGTATGAGGTAGGGACGAAATTTCATTTCAAGCCACACACTCTAACAAGGAAGTACATTCCCAAAGCCTCAGCCAAAAAGAGAAATGTGGCCTGTGGTTGGTCAGGATCACCTACCCAGAAAACAGGTCACTAAGTATGGTGCTTGGGGTGTGGTCTCCATGACTTGCAAGCTGATGAAGAGCTACTTAACTGCAGAGTGGAATGGGAAACTCAGCCTGAACCTACTTGCCCCGGGCTCAGGGCCACGCCTAGGCTCTGCCGAGTCATGCGCCTGCACTAATGTGACCCCCTGTTTGTTCTCAACTTTGCACCTGCTCTCAGCTCCCGTTGCCTGTCTGCTGCTTGGGTGGGGCTCTCTCTGACTCAGGCCTGCAGAGGGGTGCTTTCCTGGGTAGGGAGCAGGTCTATCTGTTTATGAACACAAGCTGTAGTCAATTAGCTGGTATAAGATGGATTTTTTCATCTTTTCCAAGCTGCATGAACTACAGCCACCCCTAGGAGGAGACAACATATCACATATCTCAAACAAGTGAGTGGCTTTGGGGAGGGGCAAGCCAAATGCTTGGATGGGGGGGTCTAAATTGTACACTGTGACCAGCTGAGGACAATGTGATTTCTTTTAAGATTTCTTCTCTTGTATTCAGGCACTCTTTGTTTCCTGAGCTAAATATGACTGTATTCTCTAACTTCTTTTTTTCTTTTTTACAGAGTAATAAAAGAAAGAGGTTTATTTACCATGTACATTGGGAGAAGCAGAGTTGTTACCCAATATCCCAGTGTGATCCAGATTTTTTTTTATTGTTGGGGATTCGTCGAGGGTGCAAGAAACCAGGTTACACTGATTGCATTTGTTAGATAAAGTCCCTCTTACAATCTGTATTCTCTAATTTCTATTCCTTACCTATCATGAGGATGTTCAAACCTGCACCAACTCCTCTTACCCACTGTGATAGGATAATGCCCAGGATGCAAATAACAGGGAAGATATCTCAGGGATAGCTGTTCTCACTCTTCTAATAATATAACAGAACCACTATTGGTCAACAGTTAAATGAGAAGTTTTCATGATCCCAAGAATTCTCCCAAAGTATGTGTTTTTATTTTATTATTTAGTTCTTTTAGAGACAGGGTCTTGCTGTGTTGCCCATGTTGTTCATGGTTAGCCTTGAACTCCTGGGCTCAATTGATCCTCCTGCCTCAGCCTCCTGAGTAGCTAGGACTGCAGGACTACACTTTGCTGGAAGTATTTTTTGTTTTTAAACTTCCTGCAAATCACTTATCAGTCAGAAGGGAATGAGACTGAAATGATGCTAATAGGCACAAACAATGTATGTTTCAGAGGAAGTGGCTGACATCACAGCTGTGCTGCCCAGCAGGGATTTCCTTTTCTTCCTGGGGGAGATAATCATCAGAAAATATTGAGTCAGGGCTCTGAAACTAAACTGACACCTACTTGTAAAGGAAAATTAAAAATCCCAATCTAAAGATAGGTCTGATGCTACTGTCTTTTTCATTTTTGCAACAGAATCTGCAGATAGAATTGTAGGCAGCTCTTGATATAGATACTCATCACCATTACCTCTGAAGGACTGCTACTCCATTTGTCTCTCCCTGGTCCTGCCCTCCCTCTCTTCCATCCTGAATTTTGTGCTTATTATCTCCCTTTTTTTCTTTACAGTGTCAACACATCTTTTGTTAATAATATAATGCATGTTTTGAACTTTAAGTACATGAATTCATACTGGGTGTATTCTACAAATGACTGGTAGAAGAATACATTTGGTATGTTTTCTTACGAAATTATGTTTTTACCATTAATCACCGTATGTAAATGTAATTCATAGAGTGTAATGAATATGCCACATTTATCCATTCTGTTGATTAACAGTTTTGGCTTTTACAGACAACCCTGACATGGACCCGTTTGTGCCTGGTATGCACCTAAGTTTCTCAAGGGTGTTATATATAGGAGTGGAAAAGGTGGATCATAGGGTATGTCTACATCATCAGTTTTATTTGGTAACACTGAATTGTGTTCCAATGAAGCTTTGTCCTGAGCCAGTTTGTTCTAATGCTCCATCACTGGTAGGGATAGATGCAAGACATTAGATCATATCTATTATTTTAAACTCTCAACTTTTAAATCCAGCTAACTCCCCCTGCCTATTCCAGGCAGGCAGCAAGTAAACAAGTGGCCAAAAAAG